GGGGAGTAAAACCAGACAAGACCTTTGCTGAAGCAGCAAAATGTTCAGAGGGAAATATGATAATAAAGGCAACAGTGTTAGAAGCTGTAAAACTACCCAATGAACAAATCCACAAGGGCTATGACGAGGATTCGAACCTGCGTCCGAGAGCATCCCAGACGCTGCCTTAATCGGCTGAGCTACGATTACAACTACGACTGAGCTGAGCTTTGTTTATTTGATGCATCACACAATTGTGATTTATGTGTGTAAAAACTACCCAAGTTATGAAATGTACAAGGCAGGAGTTGGAGAGAGAGAGAGAACGGAGATAATATGCAACGTACCATGAGACACCATAATGAAGTAGAAATTCTGCAAAAAATTCAGGCCAGAGCTGCAACAATAGAAATAGAACATTTCTGTAGGCTAGGTAGGTTTCAGAGATAAAGAAATCGACCAGAGAAAGTTATTTTTATGAACAGAAAAGACAGTTAAACATATAATGGCAGAAAAGATATACTCCCATGTCGAGCCTGGCCTCCGGCCGGGCTCAGGGAGTAGAAGCACTCTCGAGACTCTCTTCAGGTATGCTCCAGGTATATATTTATAAAATGAGGAAAAGTACAATGTAGTTTTTATTAAACGGGATATGTTTAAGGAGGATAGGGAGGCAGCCAAGTGAATCAGGGAAAAAAAAGGAAATGAGAAATGCAAGGAGAGCATAAAATGTCACAAAGTACAGAAAGAAATCTGACAGAAGAGAGTAGAACATAGGAAAACAGGAGCAACAGAGAGCATGCTACAGAAACAGTAGGGCTCCCCAGCCTAACGGAGGAGCTGTTCACTTGAGACAGTTAAGCAAGTCTCAGCTGTGTCTGGGTACCAGTGACAGGATGAACACCCCAGCGGGTTTTCTTCCTATTGGGGAGTGTTGTACATGCTGCTATGGCGGTATGTCCACTCACAGGATCAGTGGCGCTGCCCAATAAACTCGCCCCTCGGGGAAAAATTAAAAAAAAATACATAAACGAGCAGGAATGAGTGACTACTTCATCACACCTCCTTTCCCCTACCAAACACAGTAATGCCGCCACACGAACAAATGCCCTCGGGGGAAAAACAAAAGCAGTGCAGTTGTGATGGGTAGCATAAAAATAATGTACACAAATGCAGATAGAATTACACAGGGATAGAGTTACAGGAACAAGTGCAGAACAACCACCACCCAGGACTGTGATAATGGAGGTTATCTTGATGGAAATGACAAGAGTTACAGGAAATGCAATCTTCCAACGAGAACGTAAAATAATAAGGAAATAAAGGGTGAACAGAAGAGTAAGTGGAGTGTAGCCCTGTTGCTACAGCTACACTGGCACTTTGATGAAGTGAAATTAGCAGGAGAATCCAACCAGTAACAGCTGTCTCATACTAGGAATAACAACAGTGGGAGACACGAAGATAATGGCAGCGGTGATTTACAATCACTCTCCAAACAATAAAGACCTGGGGAAGAATACGATAAATGCAATAAGAATTGTCTAAAGGTAATGGACAAAGCAGCCACTGTGGCAAAGCGAACAAGACCTAAAACCCTAAAACTAGGGAAATTTAATCAAAGGGAAACAGACTGGATAAATATGCACCCCCCCCCACAGGGGTGACGGGACATGGAGAGCGAAACTGGTGGACATGGCAGACAAACTGCCATGAATTAGGAACACTGCTGTTCCTAATTTATGTGAACGACCTGCCCGAGGGAGTGAGCTCAGACATGTCAATGTTTGCTGGTGATGAACGTGAAAGAATCAAGGAAATGAAAGCAAGGAATGAAAGAACAGAAGAGAACTGCAGGAAGTTACAGGAACATAAGAACAAAGGTAACTGCAGAAGGCCTATTGGCCCATACGAAGCCAGCTCCTATTTATAACCACCCAATCCCACTCGTATACATGTCCAACCCACACTTGAAACAATCGAGGGACCCCACCTCCAATACGTTTCCCGGTAAATGGTTCCACCAATCAACACCCCTGTTACCGAACCAGTATTTACCCAAGTCTTTCCTAAATCTAAACTTATCCAATTTATACCCATTGTTTCGTGTTCTGTCTTGTGTTGATACTTTTAATACCCTATTAATATCTCCTTTGTTATGTCCATTCATAACAAAGGAGAACACAGGAGAACATAGACAAACTCCAGGAGTGTTCAAACACATGGTGGCTGGAATTCATTCCCAACAAGTGTAATGTAATGAGGATGGGAAAGGGAGAGAGGAGACCAGAAAGCAGCTACACCATACTAGGAAGGCAGCCACACCATACTGGGAAGGCAGCCACACCATACTGGTAAGGCAGCCACACCATACTGGGAAGGCAGCCACACCATACTGGGAAGGCAGCTACACCATACTGGGAAGGCAGCTACACCATACTGGGAAGGCAGCCACACCATACTGGGAAGGCAGCCACACCATACTGGTAAGGCAGTCACACCATACTGGGAAGGCAGCCACACCATACTGGGAAGGCAGCTACACCATACTGGGAAGGCAGCTACACCATACTGGGAAGGCAGCCACACCATACTGGGAAGGCAGCTACACCATACTGGGAAGGCAGCCACACCATACTGGGAAGGCAGCCACACCATACTGGGAAGGCAGCTACACCATACTGGGAAGGCAGCTACACCATACTGGGAAGGCAGCCACACCATACTGGGAAGGCAGCCACACCATACAGGGAAGGCAGCCACACCATACTGGGAAGGCAGCCACACCATACAGGGAAGGCAGCTACACCATACTGGGAAGGCAGCTACACCATACTGGGAAGGCAGCCACACCATACTAGGAAGGCAGCTACACCATACTGGGAAGGCAGCCACACCATACTGGTAAGGCAGCCACACCATACTGGGAAGGCAGCCACACCATACTGGGAAGGCAGCCACACCATACTGGTAAGGCAGCCACACCATACTGGGAAGGCACCCACACCATACTGGTAAGGCAGCCACACCATACTGGGAAGGCAGCCACACCATACTGGTAAGGCAGCTACACCATACTGGGAAGGCAGCTACACCATACTGGGAAGGCAGCTACATCATACCGGGAAGGCAACCACACCATACCGGGAAGGCAGCTACACCATACTGGGAAGGCAGCTACACCATACTGGGAAGGCAGCTACAACATACTGGGAAGGCAGCTACACCATACAGGGAAGGCAGCTACACCATACTGGGAAGGCAGCCACGCCATACTTGGAAGGCAGCCACACCATACCGGGAAGGCAGCTACACCATACTGGGAAGGCAGCTACACCATACTGGTAAGGCAGCTACACCATACCGGGAAGGCAGCCACACCATACAGGGAAGGCCGCCACACCATACAGGGAAGGCAGCCACACCATACAGGGAAGGCAGCTACACCATACCGGGAAGGCAGCCACACCATACAGGGAAGGCCGCCACACCATACAGGGAAGGCAGCTACACCATACAGGGAAGGCAGCTACACCATACAGGGAAGGCAGCTACACCATACCGGGAAGGCAGCCACACCATACAGGGAAGGCCGCCACACCATACAGGGAAGGCAGCTACACCATACAGGGAAGGCCGCCACACCATACAGGGAAGGCAGCTACACCATACTGGTAAGGCAGCTACACCATACAGGGAAGGCAGCTACACCATACAGGGAAGGCAGCTACACCATACAGGGAAGGCAGCCACACCATACAGGGAAGGCAGCCACACCATACAGGGAAGGCAGCCACACCATACAGGGAAGGCAGCTACACCATACAGGGAAGGCAGCTACACCATACAGGGAAGGCAGCTACACCATACAGGGAAGGCAGCTACACCATACAGGGAAGGCAGCTACACCATACAGGGAAGGCAGCTACAGGAATAACTAATATTTACGAGTGGATATAGTTCCGACACTCACACCGGAGACACACACAAACAAGGTAACATCAGCAGCATATGCGACGCTGGCACATACAAGAACATCATTTAGGAAAATAAATCAGGATTCCTTTAAGTAAATTTATTCAACGTTTGTGAGACCAATGCTGGAATTTGCAGCACCGGCATGGAGTCCACACGTAGCAAAGAGTAAAGCCAAAATGAAAAAAGTCCAAAGGTTAGGTCATCAATTTTGTTGCAAGGTAATTATTAGGGGTAAGCGCCAAGACATTACGACTATATAGCACTGGGAAGGAGTCAGGATAATAATTTAGGATTGGACGAGGGAAAGGAATGGTGGCAAACCACTTGGATGGTCGGGGATTGAACACCGACCTGCATGAAGCGAGACCGTCGCTCTACCGTCAAGCCCTAGGAGTTGGGCTAATGAAAAGGGGAACTGATAAGGTAGACACGAATAGCCTCCTCGAATTGAGATGAAGAAAGACAAGAGGACGCAGGTGGAAGCTCGAAACACAAATGAGCCGAAGGAATGTAAGGCTAACAGGGACAGTAGTCAAGATAGCAGCAGCATGATGAACAGTAGCCAGGATATCAACAGCAGCAGCATGATCAACAGTAGCCAGGATAGCAACAGCAGCAGCATGATCAACAGTAGCCAGGATAGCAACTGCAGCAGCATGATCAACAGTAGCCAGGATAGCAACAGCAGCAGCATGATCAACAGTAGTCAGGATATCAACAGCAGCAGCATGATCAACAGTAGCCAGGATATCAACAGCAGCAGCATGATCAACAGTAGCCAGGATATCAACAGCAGCAGCATGATCAACAGTAGCCAGGATAGCAACTGCAGCAGCATGAACAACAGTAGTCAGGATATCAACAGCAGCAGTATGATCAACAGTAGTCGGGATATCAACAGCAGCAGTATGATCAACAGTAGTCAGGATATCAACAGCAGCAGCATGATCAACAGTAGCTAGGATATCAACAGTAGCAGCATGATGAACAGTAGCTAGGATATCAACAGCAGCAGCATGATCAACAGTAGCCAGGATAGCAACAGCATGATCAATAGTAGCCAGGATATCAACAGTAGCCAGGATAGCAACAGCAGCAGTGGGACTAACAGTAGCCAGGATAGCAACAGCAACATGACCAACAGTAGCCAGGATAGCAACAACATGACCAACAGTAGCCAGGATAGCAACAGCAACATGACCAACAGTAGCCAGAATAGCAGCAACATGACCAACAGCAGCCAGGATAGCAACAACATGACCAACAGTAGCCAGGATAGCAACAGCAACATGACCAACAGTAGCCAGGATAACAACAACATGACCAACAGTAGCCAGGATAGCAACAGCAACATGACCAACAGTAGCCAGGATAGCAACAGCAACATGACCAACAGTAGCCAGGAAAGCAACAGCAGCATGACCAACAGTAGCCAGGATAGCAACAACATGACCAACAGTAGCCAGGATAGCAACATGACCAACAGTAGCCAGGATAGCAACATGACCAACAGTAGCCAGGATAGCAACAACGAGAGTGGAAGTAATATCATGTGTAAGAGGAGTGGAGGCAGGAGCAGGAACACCACGAGGGGTCCGCTGGCTAACGATGTGCGGCAGCGGACGTGGGGCAGAGGGTTACCCAGGCTGGTTGGCCGCGGGCTTGATATTGATACAGGGAGTCCTGGTTACCGCCCGCCCCAACCCCGCCATTCAATATACAGCCAGATTGGGTGTACACTCTCAATTAATTACTTCGCCAGCACTAATTAAGGCCATCAATTAATCCTTTCCATTATCCCCACTGGACAGATCAATCGGCGAGGTACAGTGGTTCCGTCAAATTGGTAATCAAGCGAGTCAAGATACCCGATTTGTGCCGCAGGCAAGGTCCCGGGAGATGGCCAGGGGGGCTTCGGGTTATAATTGTCTCTCCGGGTTAGCTGATATATGGCTCTGGCAGGACGCTTTATACAGTACGGACGGAGGAAGGGCGGCGGCGTCTTGCTCAGCCCGGCTAAGTTTAGTTTCAATCACCTGAATCATTGGGGATTTGATCTCCAGCCACAAAAAGTACAAGATTGTTGCCCCTCCAAGGCAGGGCTATTAATGCTGACCGCAGGTTTAGAGTCTGAGATGGTTAATGTGAGCGAGGGGATGTGCGCTAATCATGTGTGTTAAGTGCTGTGTTAGTACTCCTCATGTGTTAAGTGCTGTGTTAGTACTCCTCATGTGTTAAGTGCTGTGTTAGTACTCCTCATGTGTTAAGTGCTGTGTTAGTACTCCTCATGTGTTAAGTGCTGTGTTAGTACTCCTCATGTGTTAAGTGCTGTGTTAGTACTCCTCATGAGTTAAGTGCTGCATTAACTCTCATGGGCACATATCAAGCACTTGTGTTAAGAATTTGCGTTAACTTCAATTATATTTTTTATTTGTATATACCATGGAGGTCCGATGTTGCATGTTGCATGTAGTATTAATGAATGACATTGTTAGCGTTGTTACCCGACTACCAGCAAGCCGGATCATTCACTCGAAACCTTCGTTGTGGCGCTCGTACACGTGACTCTCTCATTCGCTCTTTTATTCAGCTGAGGATGTAGAGAGCGGGAGACCTAGCAGCGGCTGAGTGTTGGGCCAACTGGCCACTCCTGGGTGACCATTTTCACTACACACTATCTACACCTCTGTAATCAATAGGTTGAGCCAAGAATGCAAATCTGTCACCTGAACATTCGTTTTGAATGTCAATATCTGAATACTCTAGTATTTAAAAAGTGATATAAATTCTATGGACTTTTTGTTGCACATTTCTTATCCACCAACCTTATGAAGGTGGTACAAGAGGATGATTTCCTCTCAAGAGAGGCATTGGGGCTGACTGACCACCCTATGAGACTCTATAATATCATAAATTACCATACAAAGTTATATGAGGCTAACCACAAGCCTCTGGCTTCTGACCTTCAACACACACTTATATTTAGCCTAGATAGGGGTGACAAGCGGTGCCGTAGTCGGTCCAGTGCGCACATCTCCACATGTTCCTGTTCTTACACTCTCCTTGTCTCTCCTCACTGACACCCTCCCTCTCTCTCTCTCTCTCTTATCACTCACACTCTCCCTGTCTCTCATCACTCACACTCTCCCTGTCTCTCATCACTCACACCCTCCCTGTCTCTCATCACTCACACTCTCCCTGTCTCTCATCACTCACACCCTCCCTGTCTCTCATCACACACACCCTCCCTGTCTCTCATCACACACACTCTCCCTGTCTCTCATCACACACACCCTCCCTGTCTCTCATCACTCACACCCTCCCTGTCTCTCATCACTCACACCCTCCCTGTCTCTCATCACACACACCCTCCCTGTCTCTCATCACACACACTCTCCCTGTCTCTCATCACACACACTCTCCCTGTCTCTCCTCGCTGACACCCTCCCTCTCTCTCTCTCTTATCACTCACACTCTCCCTGTCTCTCCTCGCTGACACCCTCCCTCTCTCTCTCTCTTATCACTCACACTCTCCCTGTCTCTCCTCGCTGACACCCTCCCTCTCTCTCTCTCTTATCACACACACCCTCCCTGTCTTTCATCACACACACTCTCCCTGTCTCTCATCACACACACTCTCCCTGTCTCTCCTCGCTGACACCCTCTCTCTCTCTCTTATCACTCACACTCTCCCTGTCTCTCCTCGCTGACACCCTCCCTCTCTCTCTCTCTTATCACTCACACCCTCCCTGTCTCTCATCACACACACTCTCCCTGTCTCTCATCACACACACCCTCCCTGTCTCTCATCACACACACTCTCCCTGTCTCTCATCACACACACCCTCCCTGTCTCTCATCACTCACACTCTCCCTGTCTCTCATCACTCACACTCTCCCTGTCTCTCCTCGCTGACACCCTCCCTCTCTCTCTCTCTTATCACACACACCCTCCCTGTCTCTCATCACACACACCTTCCCTGTCTCTCATCACTCACACCCTCCCTGTCTCTCATCACATACACTCTCCCTGTCTCTCATCACTCACACCCTCCCTGTCTCTCATCCACTAACACCCTCCCTATCTCTAATCACACACACACTCTCCCTCTTTCTCATCACACACACCTTCCATGTCTCTCATCACTCACACCCTCCCTGTCCAAAAAAATGTGAATATGATTAGCTGTGATGGGAGCACGAGCCTTGCACAAGATGCGTAGCTTAATACATTTTTTCTCCCAGACAGGCCCCCAAAAGTTTATATGCGTCACATCTTGAGCAAGGATCGAGTTCCCATCACAGTTAATCATATTCACAGAAGCCTATCAAACATCAATAATATTCTACGTATCATTAAGTAAAACAACTGTGGGAAAAATGGAAACACCAGTTTACTCTGTGGTACTAACACAAGTAATATATCACAAGAAATAAAGACAGAGTACACACTTAATCACTTATGAAGTAAGGAATTAATTATGTTCTGATGAACACTGATACAATATAGAAAGGAAACTGGCTTAGCTCTTAATAACATGCATTACCAAACACAAAGAACACTCATAGTCAGTAACAACTCACACACTACTTAACTCAGACACACCTCCAGTAAACCAAGACCCCAACCTGCATCTGATGCTCCGCTCGTTCTGAATGACGACCTCGTTCTGAATGACGACCTCGTTCTGAATGACAACCGGCAGCGGCCAGGCTAACCATCACCAAGTACGACTGACAAAACATCTCAACAGCCACACTACCATGCTGAGATAATCACTCCCAAACACTTCTAAACACATGTAATATCTTAGACACTCAGTAACAAGATCCCAAATAATTATGCTTCTCATAAGGAAAAATAAGAGTTAATGAATGGCAATGCACACCTGGTAACAATGACACCCACACCAGCGTTCGCATCCCACCATCTAATACACTAATACACCACTCGTACACGCCCGCACCACTGACCAACTCATACAACAGAAAACAATACAACAGGGTAATACAATGGCATCACTGTAACACACACAACTAGAATGATATAATATAATATAGTACTTATGAAACTGGAAACAGAAATATGGTAAATTTTTGTCCATAGCAAAATGAGGTGTGATAAATGTATAATTATGCATACATTATAATAGTGAGAAATCAGGTAAATACCTGGTTCATAACACCCTTCTCTCACCTCACCCCATTATCTGATCACCCCTTCACTCACCTCACCCATTACACTAGCACCCTTCACTCGCCTCACCCATTACACCAGCACCCTTCACTCGCCTCACCCATTACACCAGCACCCCTTCACTCACCTCACCCATTACACCAGCACCCCTTCACTCACCTCACCCATTACACCAGCACCCTTCACTCACCTCACCCATTACACCAGCACCCTACACTCGCCTCACCCATTACACCAGCACCCCTTCACTCACCTCACCCATTACACCAGCACCCCTTCACTCACCTCACCCATTACACCAGCACCCTTCACTCACCTCACCCATTACACCAGCACCCTACACTCGCCTCACCCATTACACCAGCACCCTTCACTCGCCTCACCCATTACACCAGCACCCTTCACTCACCTCACCCATTACACCAGCACCCTACACTCGCCTCACCCATTACACCAGCACCCTTCACTCGCCTCACCCATTACACCAGCACCCTTCACTCGCCTCACCCATTACACCAGCACCCCTTCACTCGCCTCACCCATTACACCACCACCCTACACTCGCCTCACCCATTACACCAGCACCCCTTCACTCGCCTCACCCATTACACCAGCACCCTTCACTCACCTCACCCATTACACCAGCACCCTTCACTCACCTCACCCATTACACCAGCACCCTTCACTCGCCTCACCCATTACACCAGCACCCTTCACTCACCTCACCCATTACACCAGCACCCTTCACTCACCTCACCCATTACACCAGCACCCTACACTCGCCTCACCCATTACACTAGCACCCTTCACTCGCCTCACCCATTACACCACCACCCCTTCACTCGCCTCACCCATTACACCAGCACCCTTCACTCACCTCACCCATTACACCAGCACCCTACACTCGCCTCACCCATTACACCAGCACCCTTCACTCGCCTCACCCATTACACCAGCACCCCTTCACTCGCCTCACCCATTACACCACCACCCTTCACTCGCCTCACCCATTACACCACCACCCCTTCACTCGCCTCACCCATTACACCAACACCCTTCACTCGCCTCACCCATTACACCAGCACCCTTCACTAACCTCACCCATTACACCAGCACCCCTTCACTTGCCTCACCCATTACACCAGCACCCTTCACTCACCTCACCCATTACACCAGCACCCTTCACTCGCCTCCATCACATCCAGCTTGAATTCATTTTTAAGTTGGTCAGCTTCCCGGACGTCAGAGGCAGCATTCCATCTCTGGCAGCCAACTGCCCGGGTTACCACCGCACCAAAGCATCTTTATTGTCATATATAATACATGGTTTTGGCCGGCTCCTGCCTCCCACATCTGCACGGACCTGATCCATGCTAGTAATTTGAAAGGTGTGGATGTTTGAATACCATCTGAAGCCTATTTACAACGGTAAATTTCTGCTGAGAGAAAGAAATTCAATGTCTTGTTTTATCTTGGTAATTGGGGTGATGCTGGTGACTTACCTGTCATCAGTCAGCTGGAGTGGAAGATCTCGCAGCATCCCTGTTTGCACTAACCACATAATGTGTGTGTGTG